ATAGATATACTAATTTAGAAAGGTGAATTTTCCTATAACACCAAATATTTATGTATAGGGAAGTTAAACCTGTAAAATACGAAAGGTATAGGGAAATAAACACGTAGATCGTAAAGCTTTGGATTGCGGTTTTCAACTACTCGTATAACTCTATAGCTATACTAACTTAGAAAGCTGAACTTTCCTATAACACCAAATATTTATACATAGGGAAGTTTAACCTATAAAAGACGAATGACATGGGGAAGTAAACACACAAATCGTAGAGCTTTGGACTGCGGTTTTCAAAGTCTATAGTTATGCTAATTTAGACAGATGAATTTTCGTATAATACCAAATATTTATATATAGAAAAGTTAAACATGTAAAAGAAAGTAAACACGCAAATCATATGACTTTGAAGTGCGGTTTTCAATCTATAACGCTATAGAGTTTATTCTACAATAAGAGATATGAATTTTCCTATAACATCAAATATTTATAAATAAAATATCGAAAAGATATCGATCAGCTAAACATATCAGTAATTAAATTTAACTGTTAAATGAAATCAAGATTATCTGTCGAAAGTTAATTTTAGGTTGAATATCTCTTTATATACCTCTAAATCGATAGCCTTTTGTTTAATCGATATAATATGCTCGTCAAGAGATCATTTAACAAGAGAAAGATGCGGAGAAAAGACCCATAAACGAAAAGAATGGACAGCCAGTAAACAATGACTCTTTCCGACATTAGCACATGAAAAGAATATCTTCCCCTCTCCCGGTGTCCGAAGCCATTCAACATTCCTCATCCCCTATTCTCTTTGTAGCATCATCTCTCCCACCTCCTTTTCCATCTATCCTAAGTAGGGCCTTTCCACTTGTACAATCGCGCCCCGATCTGATGGGGAGAGACAGGGGCGATACAGTTAAACGGGCATTCATCTCTCCCCCATTGATCGCATTAGCCGCCTTTTAAATAACGCAGGGAAGTTCAACAATTAGCCTTCCATGACTGGAACCATAGGGTATTTGTTGTAAAGTGATAGCCGATCGTACCTTACATCCATCTCCTGTTTTCAGGCGCGGAGCGATGGAAAGGATGGTCGGATGGGCACCAAATTGGTGAGGAAAGGATATAGAGGAAGTGTAAACAAAGCATGGAACTTTTGGAAGGTTTCTCGGCGTTGTCCGATCTTGTCTGTCTCCCGATTCAAGGAACAAGCAGGCTTCGGGAATGAAAGGGTCCGGAAAGGATCGCACTGAAAAAGGATTTATTTTCAGCTCATTGAGAAATCTAAGAAGCATTAAGGCAGTTAATTCATTTGGTCATAAACTCTAAGTACCAGATATCTGACTTCAGAATTTAATTAAAAAAATTATCAAATTAAGGAGGGGGATGAATTTCCTGTTACCTTTTTTCACACACATACATACACACACAAAAAAAGCAGACAAAATCAGGGGGTGGCTTATACACCTGAATGATGAGAAATAGGTACATACTAACACGTGGCAACATAGCAGCGCATATTTAACGATTGAGCATAGGAACTTTTGTTGTTGGGTGAACGTTATGTAAGATTGAACAAGTTTTGTTGCGGTTACAGGTCGTTTGATGGAAAATATTGGGAAGACGATATGCACATTTTAAACTGCAAGTTACCCGCTTCTCTAAGGAAGATAGGAACCGAACTGCAGAACGTCATTTTAACGTGTATGAATCCAATGTGTGGAAAGAACAGAAGAATGGACTGTAAGGAAGAAGAGGTAAGAAGATGGTATTTTGTGAAAATGTATCCATTAAAAGCACAATAAAGTAATTTTTTAAATTCTTTTAATTTATTTAATTATTAAGTACGACGTGACACTAAAACAAAAAATACTATAAGAATAAAAAACATAAAAAATAATTCTCGAAGAAAAAAACAAAAAAAAAAAAAAAAAAAAAAAACTGCTGCGTAAATTAAAAGCTTTGTGCTAATAAATATTTAAATAAATTTCGAACCAAAAAAGAACTTCTTAAAATAGACCAAGGAATTTTCAGCACTTTATTCTAGTAATTTTATTTTACTATGTTAATTACATTAATTTTATTATGTTTATATTATTAGATTGTTTCGTTTTTGCTTCAGTTTGGATGTATGCAGTATCTGTCAGACTGTTAACCATCTTTCCTGATTTAATTTTTATTTAATTATTATCTCTTAAATATTTACTTAATTTCGTAGCATAGTGAACGATTTTAATAATTTATATTCGTAATATAAAATCTCTAATCTTTTATTCATGTATATATATATCTATTAAAACTTGTACGAATATAAATTTTTAGTTTTGAAAGAAAGAAACTTTTCTGATATTCTATTAACTTTGCACTAGAAGTAATATTTTTCATTTTAAGTTCATTAACTTTATTCACCTCTCAAAAATGTGAATAATACATATACATGCAAGTCATTAAGTAAAAAGATAAAAATCGACTTTCAAAGTCAATATCTAGAGCTAACGCTGTTCAGATTATAAACATAAATTTTAATTATTGATGTTGACTATCGTGTAGGAAATGAAGAATAAAAACCCATTGGAATAGTAAATTATTAAAAGTTAATTTCTTATTAAGTGAGATTAAACTATGAAAATTAAAACTAAGTAAACATATAGTTGATTAAAAATAATGAAAAATAAAATTAATTATTGTTGATTTCACAGAAGAAAGCAGACTTTTCAAGGGGAATTAGTCTCTCTCTCTCATCTAATAATTGTGCATTAAAATTTGTTACAAATTTATACAATTTGTTATAAATTTATAAAATTTGTACAGTTTCGTTCACCATTTTGGTAGGCCACGCTTTTGGTGTTAGTATTGTAATAATACCTGTGTGTATTTAATTATTCTTGTTTACACAAGAATAATTAAACACAAGCACACACACACACATAGAGAGAGAGAAAGAAAGAGAATATATATAAATGATTAGATTATCTTTTAGGAAATGCGAAGAAAAATTTAGAGTACTTTTCCGTTTTACCGGCGCAGGCGATAAAGTCGCCAATAATGGTACAAATGAGCCAGAAGAATTCCTAGCTGGAACTTACGCTCATTCAAAATAAGTCGCAGCCATTTCTTATCAGATTGATTTTCTTTCAAATGCATACAATTAGAATTTTACCAGATAGTTCAATTTTGTGTAAGGCCATTGCGGTAATTAAATCAATTAGGATGCAATCACCAGCTGCTACCCGAAGCCGAAAATATAGAAAAGGCAAAGTAAGGGTTTAAATTATCAATTCTAATGAGAATGCCTTAGCGAAGTAAAGCACTGCCGGTTTACATAATTTGAGTAAGCTATTCGTACGAATTGAAATAATTTTTGCATTCCAAATCAAGATTTAATTTGAAATTAATGTAGATAATTACTGAGAGAATTAGGTTTTTGTAGCATAGTTTGCATGAGAGGAGATCACTTGGGATCACGTGATATGAGCCGACGACTCAGGGTGTTGAACCATGAAAGCATAGCAAATTCTTAAATTAATGTCTTAACAAATTTATTGCCTTTATTTACTGACTTTTTACAAAATTTTAAATGATATTAAAGTGTTTATGCCTTCAAAATAAAAAAATCTTAGAACTAACATTTGTTAACATTTTTTATGTGTATTCTGTATGTTGTCGCCATAAAGTTTGCTTGGCGAGATTTGCGCCGGCGAAACGGAAAAGTACCAAATTTGGATAGTAAGGAAAATTTGGATGGTAAAACTGTACTCTTGCAGAAATCAAAAACTGGAATTTGTTGTTAGTTGAATTGGACATAATAATAAATTGAATTAATTGCGCAATTAATATGTAAATAATCCCTATTAATAATACATTGTTGGCCTCCGAGTAGTAAAATCGCTGAACACTGGTAGATCGGTCCGAGATTCGAATCCCGCAAACGGGCTGGCTACAGGGCAGTTTTCGTGGTTTTCCTCATGTGTAGCGTATATACTAGCCATTTCCCTTAAAACGTCCTCCACAAAAGCATTCCTCCTCTTAGGCGAGAGCCTCAAGGACTAGCTCACCCTGCACACAATTCTCATTCTCCTGCATGGAATTTGCATTATCAAAGCACGCTGACAACACATTGTTTGATGTATTTCACACGAGTTTTCAAACAAAGTTTAATTTATGTATTCATTGGCTAGAGAGAAACCATACATAAACCAAACTATTAATAAGACTTTTATTTCTATATTTCTTTAGTTACATTTACTTTTTTTATTTCATTTGCTTCTTAGTTTATAATTCTTTTATTCTTATTATTAAGTTCAAGCATTGTTCAGAAGAGAAAATTCCAATTTAATTCATTACAAATTCCATTTTTTGATTTCCGCAATAGTACACCTTTACTATTTAAACCTTTCTTCACAGTTCCTAGGAGATGATTTAATTTTTTATATATTCTGTATTAAAATTAAAATGTTTAACCATAGCAGCGATAGCGCAGGATTTTAAGTCATTTTTAAATAAACTTTGAAATTCTTTCATTTTTAAGGATTTTTGTCCCTTTTTGTATTTTGGTACATATATATATATATATATAATGTTGTATGATCTTAAAAACTCCAGTCCCCGTTAAAACATTATTAACATTTGGCTTTAAATTACTTCAAAACATCTTTCAAAATAAACTTACCAGTATGGATTCACACTTTAAAAATAATTCTACTTTAATTAAACTTAGGAGATAATATAATCAATTAATCAATACTGTTTAGGAAATAAAGTATTATATTATAATATTATATATATATTTCTTGTATTCATTTTAATATGAACACACATAAAAGTTTCTAATACTGCTAAATATAATAATTTTTTCTTTTTTATCACTTGCTAATTTTTGGGTGCAGTAAAAATTCTCCCATACTGTTGAAATACTTTTACATTATATTACAATCATTTACACCTAAAGATTTGGTTTGAGTTAAAATTTATGATCTGAGCAAAGGAGATGCTTGTTTACTCACTTATCGTAGTCCGCCTTGCAGTAGAGCTTTCTGTCTCTGGAGTAACAGGTATGCGAAAGGTGAATGTGGCAGACGGAGCAGGTGAGACACCCTTCGTGCCAAGAATTGTCCATTACCCGCATGATATAGCGGTCGATAATAGGCTGCTGGCAGGCAGTGCACAGCTCCTTCTTTGTCTTGCTTCGGATGGTGCCCGGGCCTCCTGCACAGAATTTGCATCATTAAAGCACACTGACAACACATTGCTTGATATATTTTACACGAATTTTCAAACCCAGTTTAATTTATGTATTCAGTAATTAGAGGGATAAAAAAATAAGATTTACGTTATCCTAAGCATCTGAAATTACAATAAAAACGAATCCTCCTCCTTCCCTTCCAAAGCGCTGATAGTTTTTAGATTTTAAAGGAGCCCAAAAGGGTTTGTTAAGGTTATTTACGCTCTCGCTGAGCTCGCAATCTAGCAGTCTGCTCTTGCACTCACACCTGCTAATCCTCCCTTTTTCTTGTCTTTTTAGCTTTGCCATTAAGCATCGTTTTCTTTCCACTTACGCCAAATAAAATTCAACAGCCACAAAATTTTTAATGGTGGCCTATGTTTAGAATTTCAGATATGGTGTTAAGTGTAGGCATGCACTTTTCAGTTTTTTTTTTTTTAGTCTTTTTCTCACTTTATTTTCATAGTAAAACTTTTTATATTATTATTATTATTATTATTATTATTATTGTTGTTGTTGCTTGCGTACGGGTTCGTAATAGATTCAATGCACAGTGAATCGATGATAGCTTGATGAAATTTATTGTACCAAAAAGGGCAGTGTATCACAGAATGCAATCAGTAATTACACTTCAAACTACTAAAAAGGTTAAACACAACGCAATGCAAATTGCATCTGAAAGGCGAAGCTCTCCCTTATATCTCAATACTCCGACTTCAGCTCTGAATTAACAAATAACAACTGAGAAACCGATACTCTCTCCGGTCTCCGGAGTCTTCCCCCCCTCCTCGAGAAATTTCTAGTACTTTCTGCTTCTCAAAATTACTCGAAAGGATATGAGGGCCGAATGCGGTTACAGCTGCTATTAAAATCAATTACAGTTATTCAATTACAATATGCATTATAATTATACATATAATACAACAATTATACAAGGATCGAACCAAAATGTCACCGAATGATCGCCATATTTGGTGACTTGTCGCCATTAGTCGACAAAAATTAGTCGCCAAAACCGATGCCAACTTGGTGATATCTCGTTTAATTGCCAAGATACCCATTTACTCAATGTTAAAAAAGATTTGCCCCTGTATTTTTAATTTTCCGGCAGAGCATCTTTTCTCTCAAGTTTTTTATGTTACATTACGCAGAAAAATACAACGATTTCACATATAGTTTCAATAAAATTATCTATCTATGTGCAAAATTCGTACCATTATTACCTTTTTGTCTGTTGAACTTTATGTATTATGTAACACCTTTCTTTGCGCTTACGCCACACAGTCAAGAGCAAAATCACCAGATATTTACAAACAACCCGTCTTTAGAATACCCGATAGAATGTTAGAGATCGTCTTATTTTTTTTTTTTTTTATAGTTGCTGTATTATTTCTTTAAAAGCTATCTAAAATGAATAGTTACCACACAGATAAAAAATGCATACAGTTTTAATGGGCCTAACTTGTGTATTTGCATAAAAATATTAATGTTTCTTATTAGAAATTTCATAATTTTAATGCAGTTTTATTTAAATCAATCAGCTTAAAAAGTAGAAAACATAATTTTAAGAACTACGTTTATTGCTTTTCTGTACCTTTAGTAATAGAAAGATTCAATTTTAAAGTCATATTTTAAATTTCAGTGAATGGCAACACTCTGGTGCCATTGCCTCAAGTAGAGATATTAAGTACTCTATTTGAGGCAGTGGAAGCACATTCCTTTCAAATAGCCCAATTTGTGGACTAAAATTAAATGATATTAATAAAATAACCTTTTTGAAAATGGCAGTTTGGTGCGTTGAAGATGTTTTATTTTGAACACTGATGCCACTTCTTGCTTTCAAATCACTACGTCTGTTAATGAAATATTCATTCAATTTATATAAAATATGAAATATATAAAAAACAAATTCAAAATTCGAGCTTGGAGGTGCCGCTTTCGAGCGGAGGACAACATGTATTATGTAAGTTTGGTGGCCTTAGATGCCATCTATTTCCTACAATGCGAGAAACATACATACATACATACATACATATATACAGAGACTGCATTATTTAATTTCTGTTTAAATAATCGATAACATTTGTTGGCAATAATTTAAAAATGAATTGAACACAAAAGTGCTTCGGATGAAAAGTGAATTTCGAGATTATGAAGTTAATAATGGTGGGGTTTATGGGATTACTGCAAAGCCTCGAGGGCTATCTGCCTATGGGAAGGAAAGCCTTCGTGAAGGACTTTCTAAGGGAAACTGGCTCGTATACACATTACACATGGGGAAGGCCACGAAAGCGCCCATGCAGCCAGCCCGATAGTGGGATTCGAGCCTAGGACCGAACTACCAATGTTTAGCGACTTTACCGCTCGGCGTCTGGTGTGCTCCTGATATTAATATGTAAAAAGATTAGAATTATGGATCGATCCTGATTTTTTTATTGACGTCTGTCTCGCAAATATTAGTTCTTTTCAAGGTTACTGGCTTAATTCCTCTGTAAATATTTCATCTTCTGAAGCAACAGTAATATGAAAACTGGGAAAATAGCTATGCGCATGTTATTAAAGACTTTAAAGGGTCTATGTAGGAAATTATAATTCATACATTAAACCAACGAGATTAGACGTAAAAAGTAAGCATGAGAAAATATGCAAGTTAAAATCGTACATAATTAATAAAGAATATTTACGCAAAATTAAATCAGACTTCTGTTGAAGCTAGCCACATTATGACACAAATATTTTGTATTATCGTAATAGTACAATTGTAAAGTAATACTTTTAATTCACTAAACGATATATCTTTAATTAGTAGACTTAGTAGGATATTAATTAACAAAATTAATCATCATTAATAGTTTATTTAAATTAAATCAGTAGTAGTAATTTAAATGAATAAAAATTACTTATATGCTTATAAAATCCATTCGTGTGACCATTAGTAGGAAATAAAGACGAACCATCATAGCCAACTGAACAAGCCCAGTTCCAGTTTTGTAACTTTGTAACAACTTTTCAAGATACAAAAAATACAGGAAAGCTCTACAGCTGCATACGAAATCGGAGTTGATTTATTCCATTCGTGGTATAAAATTAAAGTAAACAAATACTGAATTTAACAAACTTTATACAATATTTTAAAGCGCTGTGGATTATTTTTCTCTTAATTTAAATGTGTGCGAAAAAAAAAAACTGAAATTTTATGTTATTGAACGACTTTCAGGAATTATCTTTATTTACGAAAAGTTTGCACTGCATATAAATAATGAACTAATATAGGTTCAGGAACTAGACATTTAAAATATGCATAATATTTCATATTAATAAATTCTGAATTTTTATCCATCTGTTAGATTACGAAGCAGACAGGCCTTTCAAAATTTTTTGATAAATCTTTACGTTTCGGATTGAAATTAACTGAAAATATTAAGAAAAGGAAAAGGAAGGGAAATGGATTTTGCTACGAGCGCATCTGATCCAAACATTATTGTCTCGAAATTACACCATCTTAATCCCAATTTGCCTCCAATAATGATTAAAGATGCTAAATATAATGCTAAAAAAATATAAGAGCTAAAAATAAAAATCTGAAAGGTTTCAGATTTTAAATTACGTCCAAAGGGGCGGTTTTTTTTAACATTTTGTCTGTTACTTTATTTATTAAATATCACGTTCTTCGCACTTAAACCATAAAATTCAGTTCAAGAGCAATATCGCAAAATAGTTTTAAATGGAGCCTATCTTTAGAATTTCCGATACAGAGTCTCGCGCGCTGGAGATAAAAATGTTTTTTTCTGTACAACGTTGTCATTGCTCGCTTTGAAATCCTTGCGTTTGTTAATCAAAAATCCGCTAAAGTTTTACAAAATATGAAATCGATAAAAAAATTTCCAAATTTTAAATTTTCAATAGAATTACGTCATTCAAAATTCGATGGCTCTATGTACCGTTATTTTATCACAATGCGAGAAATAGATATACATTTATGCAGACTTTTCATTATTTAATTTCTTCAGATATAATGCAGGATTCTAACATTTGGTTGCAAGAGTATGAAAAATGAAACGGACATTTATAGTGAAGCAACACAAAATCGCAAAACAAAAACAATAGTCTTTCAGGGACAAAGCCCCTTTGGACTAATAATGTTTGACAGGTAAAATCTTGGGGAATTTAATCAGATAGAGTGTAAAAGAAGTATTGCTGCTGTTACACATGGTGAATAAAGGAAATAATGTTTCTAAAATTCACCTCTCATTCGATTTAAAAAGCTTTCTGATAGTTCCTGCAAAATCAGAATCCATCGGTGATTTTTGATTACAAAGATCGCCAATAACTACTATGATTATTATCTATTATTAATACAGCTGTAGTATTAACCAGCATTTCTCAAACTGCGGTCCTCGAAGCCTGTCCTTGTAATCCTTGTAGATTTGCAAAAATTTTATGTTATTTTGAAACGAAATTAACAAGCTTTCACATCGTTTCTTACTTAAGAGACGTAATTAAGTACACTGGCATAGCTTCCTCAAAACTCAGTTTCTCAATGAACTCGAAACCCTATATATTCTCAAAACTAAATCAACTAAATCTCTGTTTACGAGGTAATTCCTTGACTGATCTCATTGCCCATGAGAAATTAAAGGGATTCGAAAAGAAATTTGGTTTGTGGATCAGTTGTGTAAAAGTGAGACTTTTTCATCGTTTCCAACCCTGGAATATTTTTTAGCATAAAGTTATTATTGGAAAAGAATTATGAATGGCATATGTCTCGAAACTCTGAGGACACAATTTGAAACCTTTTTTCCACAAGTGCTAAATATAATAAGTCCAATTTTCATGGGTTCTTGATGCTTTCCATCGCAATTTTGGAAATAACAAACTGTCACAGAATGAAAGAGAACATTCATTTGAACTCTCCACCTGATTTATAACGAAATTTGAAGCAGAAGATAGAGTTAATTTCTAGGCCTCCATAACCAGAG